GCAGTGTTTTTCTTATTAGTTTTCCAATTTCCAATCTTGTATGCCAGAGGTGTTCCTTTATTTGGTAAAGCCATCCTATTACCACAGCCCTTGCTGTATTCACTGCTTCTCTCACCACTTTCAGATATACTACATATAGCCGTCCTCCCAATCAAGATCCCCAAGACCGCTTTAGAGTTGTTGGTGCTATTTAGCCAATCGAGGATTTACATATACAGCCTTATGTGGTATTACTTTCTGTGACGCCATGTCACACATAGTGTCTAGTTTTCTCTACATCTCGGAACTCCTTTCAAGAATTCTTTATAGGCTAAATAAGTACTTCATATTGTCTTATTGTCACAAGGTTTTGCATTCGAAAGCTCCTGTAGGTTACAGAGATAATTAATTAAATTTATTACCACCAGCTGTAATCGAACCGTTGACCTCGTCTGTGGAGGATTAGGCACCTAGACCACTAGGTTATGGGACTCTAACCCTTCCAAAAAAATTCAAAACCTATATTTAAATAAAAAAAAAAATTATACTTCCCTAAAAAAATAGGAAGAAAAAAAAAAAAACAAAGCGCCCACAAAAACAAAGAGCAAATAATACATCCCAGAACATGCCAAGAGTAATTGTGTCTACAAGAATATAGAACAAATAATACGATTTTAGAATATACTAAGTACTAAAGAAGGTGCCTGGAAGAGAAAAAGATTATCAGTTAAGGCATTCAAAGAAATTCAAAACCCATATTTAAATAAAAAAAAAAATTATGCTTCCCTAAAAAAATAGAAAGAAAAAAAAGACAAAGCACCCACAAGAACGAAGAGCAAATAATACACCCCAAAACATGCCAAGAGTAATTGCATCTACAAGAATATAGAATAAATAATACGATCTCAGAATATACTAAGTACTAAAGAAGGTGCCTGGAAGAGAAAAAGATTATCAGTTAAGACATTCAAAAACATTCAAAACCCATATTTAAATAAAAAAAAAATTATGCTTCCCTAAAAAAATAGGAAGAAAAAAAAAAGACAAAGTGCCCACAAGACGAAGATCAAATAAATAATATACCCAGAACATACCAAGAGTAATTGCGTCTACAAGAACATAGAATGAATATACAATCTCAGAATATACTAAGTACTAAAGAAGGTGCCCAGAAGAGAAAAAGATTATCAGTTAAGATATTCAAAGAAATTCAAAACCCATATTTAAATAAATAAAAAAAATTATGCTTCTCTAAAAAAAATAGGAAGAAAAAAAAAAAGACTAAGTGCCTACAAGATGAAGAGCAAATAAATAATATGCCCAGAACATATCAAGAGTAATTACGTCCACAAGAACATAGAACAAATATATGATCTCAGAATATACTAAGTACTAAAGAAGGTGTCTGGAAGAGAAAAAGATTATCAGTTAAGATATTCAAAGAAATTCAAAACCCATATTTAAAAAAAAAAAATATATTCTTCCCTAAAAAATAGGAAGAAAAAAAAAGAAAATGTGCCCACAAGAACGAAGAGCATATAAATAATACACCCAGAACATACTAAGAGTAATTACGTCCACAAAAACATAATGAATATACAATCTCAGAATATATTAAGTACTAAAGAAGGTGCCCAGAAGAGAAAAAGATTATCAGTTAAGACATTCAAAGAAATTCAAAACTCATTTAAATAAAAAAAAAATTATACTTCCCTGCTAACGCCTTATTTAAATCCATCTTTTCAATACTTTATTTAAATCTACAAGGAATTCATTTTTACTCTTTTACTCATAAATGATTTCTAATGTCTTCTTTAAATCTGGAAGTAATTCCATCCTTGTTTCGTTATTTGGAACGATTTCTAATCCTTCTTTAGATCCAGAAGTGATTCAATCCTTTAGTAAGGCTTGATCAAACTACTGGAGAATCTAATACTTACCCATAATAAAATAGGATCTTAAAGCTTTTAATATTTATAAAAAGAGAATCTAGTAATACAAATAATAGTTGATAATCATATGCAAAAGTTTAAATTAGATTTGAGATTATGCATTACCTGATTTGAAAATTATAATAGTCAAATATTTATTAAGTATTTGATTATCAAATTTTTATTTGATTTTGGTGAGCACTAATCCTGTTTGACTTTGTGATTCTTTTTCTAATAAAGTACTAAAGTTAATATTAAAAGTACCACTTGCTTTAGCTTCAGCTTTAGTGATTTTAGAGGCTTCAAGTTGAGCCATCTTTTTTTTAAGAGCTCTTTTTTTTTTTTTCTTTTCTTTAATTTCTTTTACATGAGTCTTCATTTTTTGTTTAGTCCAGTACAAATAATCTGGTTCATCATAATCATCATTATCTGATTCAATTTTATCTCTTTTTAATATTTCTTTATACCAACTATATTCTTCACATAGTAATAGCAAAGGATATGCTAAAAGATTATATACACCATGTAATTCAGATATTCTTTCTAATTCATTATCATGTCTTACAATAAGAATATCTCTTATATGCATAGTTTCATCAGAAAAACAAATTGCAGCTACCTCATTAGCTGATGGTGTATTATATTGTCTCATATCTTTGCCATGCTTATTATGTATTAAAATATAATATAGAGGATCTTGTAAATCCTCATTTTCTGCAGATATATAAGTATTTACAAAATGATTTAAATCCATTAATACATTTTGAATAATACTTATTATTTCCATGTTTAATGATTGCTTCATTATATCATGTCTTCTATTAATTTGTGCTTCAATATTTGAAGAATCATGAAAATATATTTGAGAAAATTTTGGTATTTCTTCTTGTTCTGGCAAAGCTAAGCTAATTTGATGATAATGATCACCCTGAATTCTATAGCAATATGCTCTCTTTTTTTTATTGGCAACATCCAAATCTAAATTAGTAGCAATTGATGTAAAAGCAAATGCTTGATTATATGCTCTTATTTTATCAACAAATAGTACTTTAGATATTGGATCTTTTTCTATAAGTAAATAATAAATTTCTGGTAGTGGTGCTTGAAGTAGTGCTAATACAACTTCACCATTCATGCAACAAAGTTCTGGTTTTTTCCTCTTCTATCTTAATGCCCTACAATGTTCATATTTAATGTCTATTTTCCCCACACTATGCTCTCTATTGTTCTTTTTATTATTCCCATCATCATCATCGTCATCATTATCATCACTATCATCCCCATCATCATCCCCATAATTATCTCCATCATTATCTTCATCATCATCTTTATCATTATCTCTATCATTATCTCCACCATTATTTTCGACCTCCTCCTGATATTCATCTAAACTACAATATCCTATTTTATAAAATTGTTTAAATTCTTTTTGTTTTTTTTTTTTATATCTTTCTCTATCTCTTTTTCTATTTCCTTCTTTTACTTTTTCTTTTTGTGCTTCACTTAAAGAAGCTCTATATGCTCATTGTCTATCTCTCTGACCTTCTTTTGTTTTTGATCTTGTTTCAGATGATGCTTTAGAAGCTTTAGAAGTTCTAGATCTTGTTCTTGTTGAAGTTCCTGTATTTCCTTCTTCTAATGTTTGATAATATCTATATTTAGTATTTCTTTTATTTTTTAATCTATTTTCTCTATCTTTTCTAGGTTCAGTTTCAGGATTTTCAGGTGCTGCATATTCTCTTAAAATATAATCAGGAGTAGGTCCTCTTTGTTTTGTCTCTTT